TCAAAATATGTTTTAACATAATATAAATGTTTTTTTTTTTATATCAATCTTTGTTGAAACATAACTTGAACGCCTTTTTGAAAAAAATAATTAGTCTTTTTATAATTTAAATTGGTGAAAATTCGAGAAGAACCAGGAATATATGGCTCGAAAAACGGCACATCGGCAACGTTGCATCTACGAGCAGCCAATCAGATGATTTTAGGTGACTTATGGCAGCCATAATGGATTTCGCAGTGTTGCTGTGAAGTGATAGAGATAAATTTTGTGATTTGAGTGTTAATCAGTGGTATTTTTGGATTTAAATATGTGGAAAATGTGGTGGAGAACGTTAAAATGGTAAATCGATGTATTATCTTTAATGATTCCAAGCACATTTTAATATTTCGGCGGTAAGAAATTTGACATCATTTTACGCTTGACATTGGCGTAGATACAGGATATTTATGGTAATTTATTGTGAATGGCAAAATTGAGAGGAAACTGAACACACCGCCACTGAACAGTGTTGCCATTTTATAGGTCTATCTCTCTCCTACTCATGTCAGGGACTAAAAGATGATTGATTGTACACATTGGGCGATTTCTAAATGGCATGTTTGGTCTCTAGTTTTATTATTAGTCTGAGTACCTAACCTACAGCTGACAAATCAATAATTGAAAAATTGACATTTAAACCTTTCTCGGGTTGTTGGTTGTTGATGTTGTCATTGGTAACTTTAAAACACGCGCGTTTTTGAATGTTGGATTTAAACACGCTGAGGAGTACTTTAAATAAGTGAAATAGGTTATCAATAAAAAAAAAAAAATAAACAATTCACCAACAATCATAACTCATTGATCATAACACAACACACAACCTCACTTTCTTACAGCTGGTTTTAGACCCGACGTACGTCCACCGAAAACAGTCACTTTTAATTAAAATCATTTGTATTTTTAATTCATAGGTCTAAAAAAACAATTAGAGCATGAATTATAGAGAAATATGTTCAAAGTTTGACGTATAATAGGTTCAAATACTAAGAAATGTCCAGAACCCAAGATATTCCCGTCTGAAAATCACTCTTTTGAATCCCCCATAAGAAATACATTGCTGTCAAATTTGTTGAAATGTGTTTAGGAACCCATTTTAAATTTCGCGCCCGATTTTTCCTAACCTAACTAATATGGTCAATCACATTAACAAAATAAAAATTGACTTTTTATATTTAGTTACGAAATATTAATATTTTAATAGAGATTTTTTGTTTTTTATTTATGGAGGGGTAGGGGGGTCGCAACCTTATGAGCAAATCTGTAAAAGGGTCGTGACTAGGAAAAGGTTGGGAACCACTGATCTATTGGGACATATTCATCCATCATCAGCCATTGGAGCAGAGTGCTTTAACAAGAAGAAGCGTAAACAAGGACAGGAATTTAGCTCTAAGTCTAAGAGCTGATGATATACCTAATCAATCATTATCATCATTTCTTATATTAGGTATGTTCTCACTGAAATCCGAAACCAGTCAGAGCGTTTTTGAATGGTACAAATCGCCAACAACCAGTTTTCTGACTATTTTCAACCAATTAGATTCACTCTGACTGGTTTGTGATTTTTGTGAGAACAGACCTAAAATTGTATCATCCACCTTTATTAATTAAGGCACTAGCTGACGTCACATACATAACGTCACTTCCGTTGGGAGGACAAGCAAAGTATTTAAGAGGGGCGTTTCAATAAAATGTCATTTACAGACCTTCACAAATTTCTGTTCAATTCCAAATTTAGACCACTCTTTAGTGAAATGAAGTTATGTTCATAACAATGATAGATTGGAGCATGGGTCGAAGTATTTTTGGTTGCAAAATACGCAGTCTAAATAGTAAAATTATTACCAATTTTGTTGACAACAGTATGCAAATTTTGGTCACGAATTTAAATGAAAAAGGTATAAACACATAGAATAGCACACCAACAATAAATTTCCAAAATTTCGGATCATAAAATGCTGGAATAAATGAAAAGAACAGAATTGATTAACATGAATTTACCGGAAATAAAATTACCTGAACTTTCAGGGGTGTATGACCAATGGTTGCAATTTTCATATACGTAAAATCCTTAATTCATAGTAACAGTACCTTGAGCAAAACTGAAAAATTTTGGTACCTGAAATCTTGCCTAAAGGGCGAGGCAGCCAACATTTTGCCATTATTAGAAGTGTCTGAACCTAATTACGACAGAGCATGGACTGTTTTATGCGATAGATATCTACATAATAAAATTACAGTTCAAAGTCACATGAAAGCGATTTTTGACATTCCATCTATTCACAAGGAATCGTCCAAAAACTTAAGAACTTTGATAGATCATTATAGCCAACATTTACAAGCTCTAGAATCATTGGGTTTGCCAGTGAAACATTGGGACACCATAATAATTTTTCATATTACGCATCTAAACTTGACCAAGTTACTAGAAGACAATGAGAAGACTTTTCTTGACAATTACAGACAGACACATTCAGTTTAAATGATTTACCATCATAGCAACAACAACCCTCGAAACACTTATCATAAACACAATACAAGTTCAAGTTATGCAACCACAACAAATTCTTGTTCCTTGTGTTGCGTAAGAAGAATCATACCATTTATTCTTGTCCATTTTTTCTGGAACTTATTCCAGGTGAAACTCGCATTTGGCAGCGACTTGACAGCAACTATTGCGCAATTATTTGCGGTCGCAAGTTACAGAATAAGGCTGCGGCTTGACAGAGTCCGCAAAATCAATGCTTGCACAAATTGTTTACGTCAGGGACATGCAGTAAAAGATTGCAAGAGCAAATTCACCTGCAGAAAATGCGCTAATCGTAATAATTCTTTATTGCACATTATTAAAAACAACACTATAATGAGGATATTTCTCGAACAAATCAACAAAATAGTAACGTGGAATAAACTATTGATGTGTTAATTGGATTTTGATTTTGAAATAAACGGACCCAAGATTTCTGTCATACACCTCAGAATCCAGATCCGTGACAGTATGTATTTTTGAGGTTTATTTAAGGGTTTAATAGTATTTCTGCAGATTGCCTAGTGCAATAATAAATAAAGGTAAATGAAGTTGAGCTTTGTTGGGTTTAGGTACAAAATTCTTAAAGAAGCACCTTAGAGCAGGTAAAGCGCTGTCCTAGTGCTACAGACATAAGGAGTAGGAACGCGCCATTCTGCTTATGAAACTAAAGGTACAATTTGTTAGGAGAGTACGCGTCGCACAACTGACAACGTAAACGTCGTCATTGGTTCAGGTATGACCATAGGTATGACGTACACCCGTTTTCTCACGTCAGAAGACGGGTGTACGTCATACCTGAACCAATGACGACGTTTACGTTGTCAGTTGTGCGTCGCGTACTATCCTAAAGGTACGGTTTGTTAGGAGAGTACGCGTCGCACAACTGACAACGTAAACGTCCCCCTCGTTTTTATTCTCATCGGTGACTTCACCGATGAGTTAGCTATCTTTGTTTAGTGAATGGAAAATGACAATGACGGCCATAGAATGGTGGATCCATCGGTAAAATTTGATGAGAATAAAAACGCAGGGATAGTCATTGGTTCAGGTATGACGTACACCCGTCTTCTGACGTGAGAAAACGGGTGTACGTCATACCTATGGTCATACCATTGGTCATACCTGAACCAATGACGACGTTTACGTTGTCAGTTGTGCGTCGCGTACTATCCTAACAAACCGTACCTTAAAGTTACAGTGGTTCTTTAAGTTTTTAGTAAGATTTTTTAAAAAAATAAATACCTTTTGTGTGATCCAGAAGTTTCTTGGACATGCCTAAAGTTTGTTTAGTTGTTAATTGTGGCAATATAGCTCAATGGATACAATATCCTTCCATAGGTTTCCATCAATTTTAAATAACAATGGGAGGTTTGATTTGTTAGCTCAAGAAAGAAGAGAAAAATAGATTATTGTTGTTAAAAGAGAAGATCTGACAGAAAAATAGATTGAATAAATAGAGTAACTATACTTATTTATTTGTTCTTGTGACACTTGGTTTTGATATTTGTTGGAAAAAAACCTGAATTTAATCCATTATAGAAAAACCTAGCAAACTTCTGGATAGAAGACCACATAGACTGGAACATAAACACTTTACTTTAACTTTTTTAAAACAACGTAACACAAAAACTTGTAAAAAAGCTATGAAAACCGCATAAAACATAGCCGGCCTAATATACACGAATGTAATAAAGATTTGTTTTACCTCAGGGCGACTGTCAAACTCATTTGTGACGTCACATAGACTTACAGGTGAGCGTCCAATGAGAAACGAGTTTGTTACGGGTTTGCATCATATTCTTATTCAGGAACCAGTTCAGAATTAATCGCTCCTTCTTTCTTTGTAACGTGTAATTCGACGAAGAGCAAACTAATACTTTACGTATAACTTCTGAACTCACCGCAGTGTCGTTTAAAATTATGTCAGATTATACTTAACATATTCCTTTGCACTTTCATTGTGCGATGTTGCCCGATGAAGCATTCATCAAAATAAAAGTACAAACGATGTTAAAATACACTTTAAAGCTCTTCTTTTGTCTGATTTAAAGCGTTGTGAAATACGTTGTGAAAAATCTATTTATTGTTATACTTATAATGTTCGATTTGTATTGTCTAGATTTGTTCTGCCACAATACAAACTGGCTACACTGCCACCCACTAGTTGCGCGCGCATGTCATCTTTTATTACTTTCCAACTTGTATTTATCACAATTAAGCTATCTTTTTCTATTTATGGGAGACAGGTCAATTCCATGTTACTATTCCTCTTTATCTTTTTCTGCTCTAAGAGAAGCACAGTGTTTTTAAAGCAGTTGTTTTGATTTATTTCAAATCATCATCGAAACGTCGGTTTTAACCCTGCGCCCAACAAAAGTCAACTTCCAATATAAACTGGGTCACTTACTATCTATAAAATCATTACAAAACTTACTCGATACTTTGGTTGCGTAATAGCTTGTTCCACAGCATAATCAGAAACGGGACGTCTATAGTTGTGTGCGATGGGTCTTTCTGACGGTAATATTCTAGTGAAATCTTTTTTGATTATCCAATTATCATTATCTTCATCGAATTGCGCTAAACTAATTATTCTGCTTCTTTCTTCCGATGGTACAAAATTGTCAATTATCAAAAATGACTGTCTCAGATTCCTACACAAAAAAAATCAAATAATATTGAAGGATAAAAATGATGGAAGTTGAAAACACTTACATAGCTGCCTCGTCATTGGCCATTTCAATTTCTTGCCTGTCTTTCAAATAATATTCATGATTATCTTGATTTTCCTGTCTAATAGACTGTAACTTGGTATTGAGACGTTTTAATTTGTCTCTCTTGAAATCAACTTGTTGTTGAAGGCTAGCAAAAACTTGCTTTAATTCTGAACAAGTTTCCTCTTCTAATTCTATTCTTTGTTGCATTTCAATTTCACGTTTCTGGAATGGAAGATTTATGAAGTGAACAAAGTCAACAAGGGCCAGTGGGGGTCTTAAGTCTCAATCATTTGATTTGATGTAAGTAAAAAACTCGGTAAAAAATGCTTGAAATAATTTTAAAATTTTGAAATATAAAACAATCAGGACATAATTTACTTCAATCACAATCACAATCACAATCATGAAGAATCTGCTTTTTTCAGGAATGCCAAAAATACATATTACTATTGCTACAATGATTGCTCTAATGTAAAAGTTTACCATTGACAATTGTTTTTCCAAACTCCAATTCCGCATTTTAAGTTTCCAATTTTTCTCTACCAAACTATTAATCTCATAACACAAATCGAATTCTATAGAATTCATTTTGAAATTTATTTTCTGCACATCCCTTTGTACTTTAGTGCATAAATATAAAATGTTATCAAAAATATTTTCAGCCATTTTCTAAAGGATTTCGAAGAAATGTTATTTTGTTCAATAAGAAATAAGACTGAATTGTTAATGCATATTTGCTTGACTATTGTAAAGACTAAAAAAAAAGTAAATATTAATATTTACTCGCAAATCCAAAAAAAAAGATTCTCGATTCTAAAGCAAAAAAACCTGATCAGGGCCGGATTTCGATTTTTCTAGATATAAGGCTGAATAATAATGAACATTCCTCCCAAATTTAAACAAAATTCTTCACTCACCTTTCTTTCTGCAATCTCAGCTCTTTGCTGCTCTAGCCGCAGTTCATTCTCATTTACGCTATCGACAATATCTTTACCCCCATGTACCATTTGCTTCTCCAGCGTCTTTAATTTTCTTGCTAACTCGTCCACCTCCATTTTACCCAACTCTAGTTTACGTTCTTTTTCCATATTTTCACTTCCGCTCATGTCAGAATCTGCATCATCATCTTCAAAGTTCAAACTGGAAAAAGACAACTTTCATGAATTTTCTTTCTAGTTTCTACTAATCCTAATACTTACGTATCCAGATTGATCCCACTACTTTTCTCCATGATTAAAGCCCTCAATCTCTCAACTTCCTGTTGCATTATCAACAATTTTCCACCTTTTATGTCCTCATTCTTCATTGGTTTGTTCTTAATAGATTTAGCTCTGTAGGCGTACCTTAAGGTCATTATAGTTTCATCGTAATTAAAATTAGCTGGCCCTATATTCGCTATCATTATGGTTTTACTGTTGCCCCCCAAAGAATCTTGCAGAAGCCTCGTTAGTTTGGAATCTCTGTATGGGATATGGGCGGAGTTTTCAGCAAGAGCATAAATAACGTTACCTGAAGAAAAATGAGAGATCAAATAAATAATATACTCTTTCAATTTGAGCTGTTATTTACCCAAAGAAGATAATGCTTTGTTAATTTTAGTTGCCTCTTTCAATCTATCACCAGTAGCTCCAGTTTTTGACTGTCTTTCACTTCCAGCCAAGTCAACTAAGTTCAATTTACCAACTCTTGTAGTTTTCGAGTGACTATCAGCCATTTCAATGACGATCTACAATAGTTTTTTTTTTAAATAAATGATTTAAACAAGCCCAGAAGTCAGTTCTCATGAGTATATTTTTTAACAAAAGTTCTTACTTGAAAAATAGCATGAGATCTGGAACTATGTTCGTTCATATTAGTAGCAGCGGTCGTTCGATTATGATTACCAGTTCTCATGGCTTTGAACATATCTTTGGTACTCTGACAAGTATGTGAATGTAAGTTGGTAATAATGACACCTTCCTCCCCATTTTCCCTTAATTCGAGAGCTTTTGTAGTTTTTGATCTGAGTAAGTCCCTAATTTCTTCCATATAAATTTCTAAGTAGCGCACCGTAACTAGGAATTCGACACCTGTTTTTCTAGCTATATGAGACCAAATTTGTTCGAAGGCTCTGGGGATTATGCCCATTTCATCATCGTTAGCACCTAAATATATTTTAGAATTATTTTTTTAATTATCCAACTATTTTTGAATAAGTATGAGTTACCCTCCATAGTATAAGTCTTTCCAGTTCCCGTTTGTCCATAAGCAAAAACACAGCCATTGTAACCGTCAAGGACGGAAGCCACCAGAGGTCGTATTGTTTCGTCATAGATTGCTTGCTGTGTTGAACTGAAATAAATGTAATATTTTATAACAGATTTACTCTATAAATAAACTCTATTATACAGTACAAAAAGTAATCTAGTATTATAATAAGTCCTTAACCATTGTGACAAAGCTATAGATTCTAATATTTACATTATTTTGGATGCTTCAATAAACTTCACAAACAAGAGTGGGCTACATCAGGTATGTAAAAAGTAAGCGATTGTATTCAACATTGAATGAGAGGACTTGTTTCAAAATACAGGTGAAGCAAGAAAAAAATTGAGTGAAATATGAATAGGTTGGTACCAAGCGAGGTACCAAGTACAAAGATGAGAGATTTGAAGCTCTATTTAACATTCAAAGATCTACTTTAACAGTCTTAGTGAAATACGAAAAATATTGATTGATAAAAACTAGCAAACAACACGGCAAAGAACTATTATACTCTGAATATTATATATGGTAAATGAAAATTTCCTCACAAAGAGTGCAAAAGAATTTAGGTACAGAAATTAGTAACAGATAAAAGTAATAATAATACCCACTACTGACCATGATAAAGAACTACTTCTACATAATATCAAAATTATGTTTTTACATAGGTATGTTTTTCTTCCTATAAATCATCCTTATTGGTCATTATTCATCAAATTTCCACTATAATTTGAAAAATCTTTGAGACTACAGAATTATCAGATTACAATAATGTTACAAGGATTTGTGAAATTTCACATCTTAATAGTACCAAAAACCTTGGTCAAATATGTATAATCATTGGGATTTATAAGATGACAATTTCTAAATCAAATACAGCTGTAGTCATATATCTTTGCTAAACTATTTATGTAAATATTATTTCACGTCAGTCAATAATAATTCATACTTTATATTTCAGTCTATAGATATACCATCTATAGATCTTGCTTAATATGGCCTGGGCAGGGCAGGATATACCAATTTAACATGTAAAATTATATGTAATGTTTTTAACTAGGTTTTTAATTTAAATGTGAAATAATTAAAGGAAAAATGAATGTGTTGAGGATATTTGAGATGTTGCTTGCAGAAGTCATATTATGGTATATGGTATAAAGCCCAGAGGAATCCTTCTTCGACAATTTTTAGATTAACTTTGTCTTTTTGTTCAATGGACATGTTTATATTTGTGCTCATAAATTTGGAATGTTTCTCTGTTGTGATTTATGCCCGGAACGTGAAAATGAAATAATCGCCTGTTCTTTATGATATCTTATGCTACTCTGTTTGGTTTTACAAATACAAATACAAATAGTTAATTTCCATAGACATTATACATGTTCCGGAATTGTCACAAATAAAAAATCCAGAAGTAAGAGCGTAAAAGTAAATGTCAGCAATACAATAATAATAATAATAGCACTAAACGTCAACATCAATATCGATAGCATATCCAGTCCTATCCAGCGAAAATACATCCACATATAAGAACAAAGAACAAAGTACAACAAATACGAAAACATATTCGCAATAATATACCCCTCGATATACCCCATGACAGTAAAAACATAAATTACAAAAACACTTGCTGCTTTAGAAAACAAACAAGAAGTACTCTCGCAAGGTGTTGGCAGCCAGAATAGTCTTCAGTGTCCGCCGAAAAACGCACACAGAATTGGCGTAGGTGGTTGTAGATTTTAAAAGATATTATCACAGGACCGTCCTGAATCTGGATCAGTCTTGCACTGGGTATGTCAATGTAGCTTGAGTTTCTTGTCTGGTACTTATTCACGTCCCCACATGTGATGTGATGTAACTATGTCGATTTTCAAAGATTTTACATGCACTTTGTAAAATGTACAGGTTTATGACTGTAAGGATACTTTCGCCCCGAATAAAAGTTTGGCGACAGGCCTCTCCAAACGGCAGTCGAAACATTGTCCCGATTATTTTTTTTTTGAGAAATCAGGACCCTGGCAATATCCAAAACAGAATCAAACTTGGAGATAATGCACAATATAATTTCAAAAAAAGCAAATTTCCCAATATTGTATCAACTTTTGCTGGAGGTGGATTGGAATATTCTTTATCGGTGTTATAAAGCAGATGAGGCTATATCTTTTCTATATACCTAATAGGATTTATGGAATATTTGATATGACTGTTCCAAAGACAATTTTTAGGGTCAATAAATATCCACCATGTTTCAACAGGGAGATAATCATATATTATATCACAAGAGAGATTATCTCCTGAATAATTAGGATTGAATTGTTGGCGTCAATCCTATCCAAAAAAAATTATTATAAAATGTCAGAATATTTCTATCAAAATTGTGTCAAAAAAGGTAAACAAAAATTTAATCGCTGATAGACAAGGTCTTGTGCAATAATAACTTATTTAAACAAAATTCATTCAAAAAATGCCGTTGTCTGATGGGTCTATTTTATAATGAATGAAATAATCAAATCTGTTTTTTTTTAAAGATAAAAGTCAAAATGACATTATGTTGGCAATGCAATGTAAAATTGTCAATGCTTTCAAATTTTGTATGTAGAAAAGGCTTGTGTTGCCAACAAAGTTACTAAATTTTTGACTTGGGGAATTATCTTTAAAAAAAAACAGACTTTCTGTGATATTAAAGTCAAAAATAGAAATAGGCGGCTATTTTAGAAAACTGGTATTATAAATTGTCAGAATGATCATAATAATATAAGAGATGTTCTGAAAGTAAAGATTGAACAGGCCAAGCAAGTTTGCATTAACAAGTTGTCTTTTAATGGGCTATCCAAAAACTCGAATATTAACAGGAGGTCCTATTTAAAAAAAAAATGAAAAGCGTAACATTTTGCGAAACGTGGCAACACCGCGTTTTTTTGAACAAATAATTCAAATTTCAATATAATCTGAAGAAGAGCATTATTTTATAAATAAATATCATTAAATAAAAGTTTTGAAAGTTTATGAGTAACATAACAATGACTGTTTAAAATTACCCCAAAGCCTGAAGATAATCCCTAATAAGTTCGAAACGGTATATCATAGACACATGACCAGTATATCGTTGGATTTTTCTTTCAAAGGGCTACGTGAAAGTGTATTAAAATATAGGGTATCCTATTTAAAAAAATGAAATTTTGTTTGTCCACCCTGTATATAATAGAGTAACAACAAAAACAACAACAAATACAAAAAAAATTTAGATTATTTTAATTGGAACAACTTTTGTATTTAAGTTTTTTTTACAGCCCTTGTAGATTTCGAGATAAGGTATAGGCCCCTCTTAAACGGGCCACCCTGTACAACGGCTGCCCTCTCAATAACACAAATATTGCTGAAACGTTTGCTATTTTTTTCAAAAGTGTATATGCACCAGCTGACAGCGATGAGAGCATTGAAACACTGTGTATGACTCACTTGTTAGAATCCAAATTTGGTGTAAGCGAACAAGAAGTCATGTATGCTTTAAATAATTTAAAACCAAAACAAACTATGGGACTAGATAACGTTCCAGCTTTTGTAGTAAAATACTGCAAGTTTATTTTCGCGCCAATACTCACTACAATATTTAACTTATGCATGAAAGAAGGAAAATATGCTGAAATTTGGAAGTTAAGCAAGGTCTGTCCAATCTTTAAAAAGGGCAATAAGTGTGATATAGATAATTATAGAGCAATAAGTATATTGCCCAATTTTTCAAAAGTGGTTGGATCAGTGTTGTACACTCGTATTCTTTCAGAATACTCAAATGACCTCGATCAAAGCAATATGCATTTATGCAAGGCAAATCAACATCCGCAAACCTGATAACCTTTACCCGATATATGTCAGATTTCCTTGAGGAGTTCAGAGATGTCCACTAGTATTGTTTGCCCAGCGGATCTGAGTCTACGGAAGGAATTCGGACGTAAATGTGCCATGTTGCCACGTTTAATTATAAAAAAGCGAAAATACTAGGCATGAAGTATAGTTAATTTGAAAATCCATTTTTTGATAAAAAAATATTGATAACAATAATAAAACGCTAAATATTTTAACGTGGTTGTTAGACCTATCCTTATTTTAATCCTGATTTCTTCAGTTTGGTTTATTGTAAAAAATAAGCATTTTCTAAAGATACCATCAGCTTTTGACAATTTGGCAAGCATCCGTCCTGGATGAACCTGATTGGTGGAGTTTTTGGCAGGATCGCCGTTGTCATGGGGAACCATACGGTTGTCAATGAGCTAACGTCACCTTACTTCTCGCTAGTGGCCAGGGCTTACGTCATTTTATCCTCCCATCTTGGAATATCGATTTATATTGACATATCCAGTGGCGGAGATTTGATCATTGCTGATTTTCGTGTACGAGTTGCACTACGATAACACTTCTAAAAAATTCCGCACGCAGCTGGGTATTTTATGAATGAAATCAGCCATTTTTTTTTACAACTGCATTCCCCTTACCGTTGCCCCGTAGACACAGACTCGCCGGGCAGACATTAGTCTAGGAGGCAGAGACGATTTTCGGTACTTATTTTCCCAGTCAGACAACATGGATAGAATTGTAGGGTTAGTAATTCTAAGCAAAATACATATATTTTTAGGGGGGGTTTTCCAATGGGTCGAGGCGCAAAATGCGTTAAAGCTTACGAATTCACTGCCCTTTTTTTTCTCAGTGATAAAAATAGGTCTACTAATGAGAAGTATACTGAAGTGACGTCAAAAAATAGTCCGGCTAATCTGTGAGTATGGATAATATGTCTGGCAAGTGAAAAATAGAATATCCAAAAATTTTCAGCCAGGCTCACTTTCACTATCTGAGATAAGCCAAATTGCTATTTTCATATACTTTATGTTCTATTGTAGTGAATGTTAAATTTGTATGTCTGGGAAAATAAGCGTACTTGTATTTTTCATTGATCTTGTGAACCCATCCGAAAATTTTACCCAGACTCAAAAATTCTTGCTTTGTATCACCAGGAGAACAAACTATTTAATAGACACCAACTGGGAAAATAAGTGCTAAAAAATTTCACTGCCTCCTGGACTATAGGCTCACCT